CTCCGTATCTCCACTCCCACCAGCATCAGCACTGTTTGAGCTACAGAATCCAGTTCTTCCTTGTTCAGAAATGCAGGCAGGATGCTAGTCCTGGAGAGAGGAAGGAGGGAAGCAGCAGGCTGCCATTCCCTGGTTCACACAGACTCATGGTGGGCATCGTGGTTCAAGGCCACACACCCAGGAGTGCAAAAGCTACCTTTCTAGATCAGCTGAAAGCAGAGCTTTGGGTCCAGTCGTTTCGGGGCAATCCCAGTGAGTGAAAGTCTTCTGGCCTGCATGGCGTTTTCTCTTCTCCCCGACATCTCTAGCTCTGAGGTCTAATGGGGTGTCCAGGCCTTGCAGCAGGGCAGTCATCTGGTCCTACTTGCTTTATGTCTCTGCTGGCTTCTGTGGGGATGTGTCACACATACACCCCGCCCCCAGCATCTCTCTTTGGGATGTAGGAAACTTCTAGATAGTGTTTTGACTTTTCTTGGGACTGCAGGAGACTCGGGACTCTTCCTTCCAAGGAGTGGCTGGTGGGTTTGAACCACCAGCCTTCTGGTTAGTAGTCAAGTGCCTCACACAGTATTTTCAATATTTTTCAACAACACCACGATTCAAATGCATCAGTTCTTCTTTAGTCTTCTTTATCCATTGTTCAGCTTTCATATACATAGGAGGCTATTGAAAATACCTTGGCTTGGGTCAGATGTACCTTAGTTTTCAAAGTGACGTCTTTGCTCTCCAACACTTGAAAGAGATCTTTTGCAGCAGGTTTGCCCAGTGTAATACATCTTTTGATCTCCTGACTGCCACTTCTGTGGTGTTGATTGTGGATCCAAATACAATGAAATCCTTGGCAACTTCAATCCTTTCTCCATTTATCATGATGTTGTTTATTGGTCCAGTTGTGAGGATTTTTGTTTTCTTTATGTTGAGGTGTAGTCCATACTGAAGACTGTAGTCTTTAATCTTATCAGTAAGTGCGTCAAGTCATCTTCACTTTCAGCAAGCAAGGTTGTGTCTGCATATCACAGGTTGTTAATGAGTCATTCTCCAATCCTGATGATATATTCTTTTTCATATAGCCCAGCTTCTCAGATTATTTGCTTCACATACAGATTGAATAAGTATGGTGAAAGGCTACAGCCCTGATGCACACCTTTCTTGATTTTAAACCCTGTTCTGTTTGAACTACTGCCTCGTGGTCTACATACAAGTTCCTCATGAGCAAACTGAGTGTTCTCGAATTCCCATTCTTCACAAAGTTATCCATAGTTTGTTATGACCCACAGTGGAATGCCTCTGCATAGTCAGTAAAACAAAGCTGAACGTCATTCCGGTATTCTTTGCTTCCACCCAGGATCCATGTAACATCAGCAATTTTCTTCAGCTTCATCACATGTCCTCTTCTGAATCCAGCTTGAATTTCTGGCAGTCAATATACTGCTGCGACTGTTTTTGAATTATCTTCAGCAAAATTTTACTTATGTGTGATATTAATGATATTCGGTAACTTCCACATTCTGTTGGATCACTTTTCTTTGGAATGGGCACAATATGGATCTCTTCAGTGGATTGTCCATGTAGCTGTGTTCCACATTTCTTGGTGTAAGCAAGTGAGCACCTCCAGTGCCTCATCCATTTGTGGAAACATCTCAGTGGGTGTTCTGCCAATTCCTGGACACTTGCTTTTTGTCGGTTCCTTCAGTGCAACTTGGATTTCTTCCTTTAGTGTCATCAGTTCTTGGCATGCTTCCTCCTGAAGTGGCAGAACGTCGAGCAGTTCTTTTCGGTGCAGGGACTCCGTAGTCCCTCCGTCTTTTTTGATGTTTCTGCACCATTCAATATTTTGTCCATAAAATCCTTCAATATTGCAACTCAAGGCTTGAATTTTTTCTTCAGTTCTTTCAGCTTGAGAAATTCTGAGCACGTTATTCCCTTTTGATTTTCTAATTCTAGGTCTTTGCACAATTCATTATAATACTTTACTTTGTTTTCTTGAGCTGCCCTTTGAAATTTTCTGTTCTTTTACTTCATCATTTCTTCCTTTGACTTTAGCTACTTTCCATTCCACAGCAAGTTTCAGAGTCTCTTCTGACATCCATTTTGGTCTTTTCTTCCTTTCTTATTTTTTTAATGACCTTTTGCTTTCTTCGTGTATGATGATATCCTTGATGTCATCCCACAGCTTGTCTGATCTTTGGTCACTGGTGTTCGGTGCATCAGATCTGTTCTTCAGATGGGTCTCTAACTACAGGTGACTCAAGGTCATACTTCAGCTTCAACTTAGACATATACGAGCAATTAATGGTGTGTTCCTTCAATTGGTGCTAAAATGCTAGTGACACCACAATTCATCTGAAGGCCCCCTTTCAAGCAAAATCTTGTGTTTTGAGCCCCATAGGGTGTGAAGGGGGGCAGGGTTGGGAGATAATGGCCATTCTTGGCCTGAGGGATGTAGGTGTGGAGTAGAGGGGTTGTTGTTGTTGTTATTTGCCGTCGAGTCGACCCGACTCATAGCGACCCCTCCTTGGGTTTCCGAGGCAGTATCACTACGGAAGTAGGATTGCCCAACCTTCCTTCCAAGGAGTGGCTGGTGGGTTTGAACCGCCAGCCTTCTGGTTAGCAGTCAAGTGCCTTAGGCACTATGCTACCAGAGGGGAGCTGTCTTCATTTCACCTCTTCCTCTCTCTCCTCCTCCTGTCCTTCCCTCCATTTATTTAGAGATGTCACTGAGATAGAGTTACAATCAGACCACAAAGCTCATCCGTTTTCAGTGTACAGGTCCACAGGCTTTAGTAAATTCATCCTCTGTAAACGTTAACAGAAACCAGCTTTAGGCTGCCTTCATTACCCCCAAAGTTCCTCCAGCTATTTGTAGTCAATCCCAGTCCCAAGTAATCACTGGTCTGCTTTCTCCCTAGAAATTTCCTATAAATGGAATCATACAATACGGGGTTGTTTTTGTCTGGCTTCTTTTACTTACCACACTGTTTATCAGTAGTTAGTTCCACCATTTTTTTTTTTTTTCCTTAATTCTTTTGCTCTCTCTCTCTCTCTCTCTCTCTCTCTCTCACACACACACACACACACACACACACACACACCTCTTTCCTTGTTAGACCCTCTCTGACCTTCCTCACCCCAAGCCCTGCCCTGGCCTTTGGCCCTCAGATGTAATTATGAACCACAGGAAGTCAGGGAGAAGTGGTGAATCTGCATACCAAACAGGTCCCAAGCGGGTGCCTCCTGGGGGAAACCCAGCTGTCCAGCCTGCCCCAGCCCCAGGGGGACCCAGGGTGTGTCATCACCAGTGGTGGCAGTGGGGGGGGGTTAGGAAGGGAGGAGGGGGAGACTGAGGCCCTGAGACTTTGCCCAAGGAGAGTGAAATAAACACTAAACAAAGCTGGATAAATGAAGTGAGTTTACTGAGTACGCAGCTCAATTCCACTTGGGGTGGAGGGAGGCTTAAATCGGGGGCCGCCAGGCCTGTGGGTCCCCATGGGCTTCTGGCTGAGGGGCAGCAGCAGGGTAGCCCGCTGGGGCCCAACAACCCCGGCTGCTTGGCCTGTGCTGTCTGGGACCTGGCTGGTGGCTGTGGCTCAAGCCAGGCCCCCTAAAGAGAGTGGCATAAGGTGAAAACGGTAACAGTGAACACACTGGTTTCAGTTTCAGTAAAGAGGAGGAGGAAGGGAGGCATGTGGGGACGTAGAACAGGTGGCTGGGCAGCGAGTCTCCCCAGAGCTCCACGGCCAGCCCCGTCGCTAGAGGACCCGGCGGCTGCTTCGATCAACGCTGCTTTCATTCCCGGCTCCCAGCTCGGAATCTGGAAAGCAAGAAGGCCTCTCAGGCTGGGGAGCCACGCAGGGCTGCGTGGTTTGTCACGGAGGCCAGGTCGTCGCTGCCCCTCTTGTTCCCACCCCAGCTCCAGGGGCCAGCCACACACACGGATGCGGTGCCTGCAACAGTGCGGGGAGCAGGGACCCACAGTGGGGCTGAGGGTCCCCCAGGCTGCCCCAGTGGGGTTCCAGCCAGGCAAGGGCAGCTGGACTGTAGGCCCCTGAAAGAAGCATCTTGTGGGTTTCACGTCCCCACACAGCCTGGTGTAGAAACTGGTTCTGAATGAGTGTCCAACAAATGCTCTCAGGCTGATAACAGGGTGCCCTCGCCAGAGGATGCCCCACCCCTAACCCCTATCTCCTAATGTGCGGGGGGAGGCAGGAGCGAGCTAGGTTTTTAAGAAGTCTTGCAGAGAACAAATGGATGGAAGCAGAGGGCGTGTGACAGGCAGGAGGACAACATGACAGTAGGGTCCCAGTGGAGGAGGTGGGAGGAGGCTTCTTTTCTTCTTAGAGGAAACTTATTCTCAATACGTTTCTTTTCCCTTTGCATTGAGTGGTGCTGCTCACCAGAAGGCTGGCGGTTCAAACCCACCAGCCACTCCCCGGAAAGAAGGTTGGGCAATCTACTTCCGTAGTGATACCGCCTCAGAAACCCAAGGGGGGCTCACTATGAGTCGAATCGACTCAACGGCAGTGGGCGGCCAGGGTGGGTCACAGAGCCCAGTGATGGGTTGTCAGATCCGGGCACGCACACCCAGGGCGTCTCTCCAGCTGCCGTTACCTGAGTGCTACTTGTGGCACTGGTACAGGGCCTCGGTGCCCAGGGCAGGGGCCAGGATGCCCAGGGCCCCAGGGCGGCTGGCTGCAAGCACACCTGCTGTGCCCGGACTTCGACCCCTCCTCATCCCTGACTACCTGAGCTGGGGCAGGCCGGCAGGTCACAGCTGTGACTGAGCTCTGGTAGCCCCATCTGAGCAAACTGCTGCCAACCAGGTGAGTCATGCCAGGCCGCTGGGGACCAAAGAAGAGTGGCCTGGGGGAGGGCAGGACACGTGTGGCCCTGCCTCTGGCTGTTGGGCTCTTGTCTGGAAAATGGCTCTGGCAGGAAGCCAGGCAAAGTGGGCTACTGACAGCACACCAGGACGGGCCTTCTGTGCCCAGCTCTCCTCTGCCTCAGTGGTGCCCGTCAGTATCTGGGGTGTGTGCAGGCTGGGGGCAGGTGGGTAGGCCTGCATTGCCAGAGGCCACTGGCTGCCTCCGCATGGGGGAGGGCATCCCAGCACTGGTCGCAGCTTCCTGAAGAGGGATGGTAGGTCAGTGTCAGCAGGGGGAACTGTCAGTAGGGCCATTTGCCTGGGAGGAAGGCACCTGCAAGAAGGGCCTTTAGGGTCCCTCCCTCTCTTCCTGAAGCCTTGGCCAATTCCTTTTCCCCACCCCAATTCCCAGGAGATGTTTTCCCCTGTCCTCAGGGACGACAGTGTCCCCTGGGGCCCTCCT